AAAAAATAATTACAGTAATTAATGGGATAAATGAGCTTGTTCTTGTTCATTACACAGCTTTTCAAATCTCGAAATCAAACTGGATACAGCTACCCTCATTTCTTGTTCCACGTTAATTTTCGCACGGTATTTACTTTTTATTACAGCGACCGCCGAAAACCCAGCTTCGCACAAATAGGATGTTGCAAATGGAATTAAGATGCGCAGAGCTTTACCACTCAGCAGCGGATATTCATCTTTTACTGATATCCAAAAATCAGTTAGTTCCGTGCAGCCAAACTTTGTCTTCAACGTATTGTCGCAAGCCAAATCAATGAGATTTTCTTGTTCTAAAGAAGTAAATTCAGAAGGAGCTTCCGCTCTAAATGGATCTTGAATCCATGCAAACTGGTCGATATTATCAGCTTGAAAGTATTTTTCGAACCATTTGATAAGCTCTGATAAGTGATCCGCAAAAATAGATTTAATATTGCAAGAGATATTAACTTCAATGGAGATAATAAACTCCTGCAACAAGGGACAACAATCATTGATATTATTATCATTACTTTTTCTCTTCCATACTTCTAATTTTTTTCTGAAAGCTAAAATCTTCTCCGCCAATTTTAAAATGTGCGAGTTGCGGCCTTGCAGGGAGAGATTCAACGCATTTAACTTTTCAAAGATATCACATAAGTATGCTAGTTGAATCAAAAAATTCGTTTCTACAAAGTACTTGGCATACTGGTGTTTTTCTTCTTCAAGAAAAATGTACATTTCTTGCCGTAATTGGAACGTACGAGACAAAACATTACCACGAGAGAGCCATCGTGAGTGGCAGTAGTATAACACAGACATGTGTTCTGCACCCATATCCTCACACATTTTTTTGAAAAACCTTGCTTTCACCGGCCTAGTTATTATATAATTTACCACAGTTACCACACGTTCTAAGACCAAATTTAGTGAAGGACTCAGATTCTTTGATACAAGCGCTTCTTTATGAATGATGCAATAGGTCCATACTGAATCCGGAGCTTTGCTTCGAACGAGCGCCTGTAATCCTCCATACCGGCCAGACATTGAACGACCACCATCAGTGCAAACACCAACGCACTTTGTCCATTCCAAATTGTTTTCAACCACAAATGTATTCCGGATCTTGCGCCTTTGTACTTGCAGTGATTTTTTTACAAAACAGAAGATCCTCCACAATGGTATTATCATCCAAGAACCCTATGTAACAAATCAAGTGTGCATCTTTACTAGAATCTGTTGCCTCATCCAACTGTAACGCAAATTCACTTTCTTTTATTTTTTCAATTATTTGATCATTAAGATCCTCCGCCAAACGCTGAATTCTGCGACTGATGGTGTTGTTAGATAAAGGCACCGATGAAAGAAGTTTTCCCTCAGATTTTCCGATCATTCTTCTTTAAGTTCCATCTTCTATCGAAGGTTGGAAATCATCATGGCTGTGCGGACTCTGTTGACTGCTGCTCTAAAAAGTTCTGTACTACTGCATTCTCCGATCATAATGTTTACCAAATCTACAGCAGCCGGTAGAATTAATTGTTCTGCGATTGTGTGGGGCTTTTTACACTTTGCAACTTTATACGCAACCTTGTATGATGCCAGCAAACCATTTTTAGGTATCGACAAATGCTTGGAAAAGTTACCTTTTTGTTGCTTCGAATCATTTAACTTTCTGGTAAAAAAGCTACGAGGTTTGTCAGCAAAGTTTGGATGATTGGCTTCCAAGTGGCGTTTTAACTTACTTGGAAGCATGCATTCTGGAGCCAAAAGTATCAAGCACAATACACATTGTGGTCTCTCTTAATCATTGACGTTTGTTGATGTAAAGCCAAAATCCAAATAGCTGTCATCATATTTACGGTATTCTCGTTTCTTCACGACTCTACCACTAGTTTGTGGTGCATCCACTTTATTTTTAGAACCACCTTGTTTATTTAACTTTAAAAACTTTTTCATTTTTACAGCAACTTTGTGAAACAACCCTGTTTATATTCACATTGATAAACGAAACGATGCGAACAGTATGAAACTACAAATTCAACTAACTAAAATTTAGATAAGTAAAAATTTATAGTTTTAAAATGTGCACGTGCAAAGAGACGATTGAATTTGCCGACCGGCAGTGATTTATGGCCTGTCGGTCCGAAGTCAATTTACAGTAGTGACAGAATTGTTTCGTGGAATTCTCTAAGTATACTTACCTTCTCTGTCAGTTCTCCTTCGACTCTTATTCTTGCTTTCTGATTTTGATACAGATTCGATATAACTTGTAGATCTCTACTATCTATCTTTTTGGTCTTGAGAATACTTAAAAGCTTTTCATGTTGAACTTCAAAAGCTTTTTTAAAAACTATGAAGTAAGCATATATGTCCTGATTCATATCCAGACATCGTTGTGTCAGAACATTGACTCCAAATAATGCTTCTCTAGTTCCTAGATCCTTTCTAAAAGCCATCTATGAATCACTTATTTCTTGTTCTAATTTTATGTGGATTCTGGTATGTATGATTTTAAGGAAGGTTTTCAACAAGATCAAGAGAAGCATGGAAAACGGTAAAAAATCTGAGAACAAACAGAAAAGAAACGAGTAGAATAGATTTAATAGAAGAAAAATCTTGGATCGAACACTACTCACAACTTTTAACTGAAACAAGACCTCAATTCACGAACATCAGTACAACACCATATGAACTGGAATTCAGTGAAGACGATGAAATAACAGTACAGGAAGTCGAGAATGCAATACGAACTCTAAAAAATGGGAAGTCATGCGGACCACAAGGTATACCAAATGAATTATTAAAACATAGCCCACAAGTATTACGGGAATTACTGGCGTATGTCTTCACCTTATTCTATAATGGACACGACTTACCACCGGAGTGGACAAAAGCACATATTAACAACATATACAAAAAAGGAGATAGAAAGAATTGTTCAAACTATAGGGGGCTAAGTGTCATAAATTCACTCTCAAGAGTGTATGGAAAAATAATAAAAAATAAAATTGAAAAAGAGATGACAGATGTAGAAGAACAGAATGGCTTTCGTGCAGGCAGATCCTGCATGGACAGTATATTCTCTCTAAAGCAAGTTATCGAAAAAAGATTAGCCCACAACCTTTCAACTCATATAGTCTTTATAGACCTGACAAAGGCTTACGATAGTGTACCACTTTCAATGCTTTGGGTAGCAATGGAAAAACAAGGAATAAGCAAAAAAAATATACAAGCAGTACAATAGCTCTACAAAAATATGACGGCAAACATTAAAACTGGAAATAGATTAACTAGAGAAATTCCTATTAGTAAGGGCCTAAAGCAAGGCTGCTGCATAGCACCTACACTCTTTAAAATATACCTAAATGAGGCACTCTCACCGTGGAGAAGAAAGTGCTGCAATATGGGCATCCCAATCGGAGATGATAGATTGTACACGATACATTTCGCTGATGACCAAGCCATTCTAGCTGAAGACGAGAGTGATATAAGCTACATGCTTAGAAAACTGGAAGATGAGTACACCAAATGGGGCCTCACAATTAATATACAAAAAACTGAGTACTTAGTTGTAGGAGAACAACCAGAAAGCCTACAAATAGAAATGGGAGCTATAAAACCAACAGACAATTTTAAGTACTTGGGAGTCCAAATAACATCAAAAGCAGGAAGTAGCGAAGAAATACATTCCAGGATTGGCCAAGCAAGATCAGCCACCAGACAGCTACACGGACTATTATGGAATAAAAAAATAACAAAAGAAAATAAAAGAAGAATTTATAAAACAATAATAGAAAGTATTGGACTGTATGGCGCCGAACTCTGGGAAATAAACCAAAGAAACAAATCAAAAATTAAGGCCATGGAAATGAACTACTGGAGACGATGTTGCCAGCTCACTAGACTAGATAGGGTGAGAAACGAAGATATTCGGAGAGAAATGGAAATCGATCTTGACATAATAGACACAATCGAAGCCAAAAGACTTAACTGGTATGGACACCTTCAGAGAATGCCGGAAAATAGATGGCCAAAAAAAAATAGAAGAATGGACTCCGCCAACTAGAAGAAAACGAGGTAGACCAAGACGATCCTGGAGAGACGATGTCGACGATGCAATGACCGCCAGAGATCTAACAACTGAAGATTGCTTCGACAGAAAACGCTGGAAATTAGGATGCGAGAAGCGGCGCCAGCTGTAGAAGACTCGCTTGTTATATATATAGGAAGGTTTTCAATATGTGGCTGTTTAATGCAATTGTCCGATAGTCATTTCAATCTTTAGTATTTGTGATTTTTGGAATCGTTACAAAAGTTGAGAGAAGCCATTCTTTGGGTATGTGTCCCGTCTTGTATATGGAGTTCAAAAGGTCTACCAAGATATCAATATTATCTTCAATAGTTCAATTGCTATTTTATCGGCTCTTGGAGCTTTTCTACCTTTTGTGTGGCATAAATAACTTCCTCTTTCATTATTTCTGGCCCGTCGTTTCTCCGTCAAGTTCTAATTGTTCTACTTTTTGGTCATAAAATAGGTGTTCAATGTATTCTTTCCATCTACGTAACTAGTCTTGCGTTTCGGTTATAGTGGTACCATCTGCATTTGTTAATATCCCGATTGGTTTGTTACTATTTCCTAAAATCATTTACTTAACCTTCTAATGGGTGTTAAAGGTGTTATACCTTGCCTCACATTCCTCGATTTCTTGACATTTAATGGACATCCATGTTTCCTAAGCTTGCTTTATTTTCTGTTTTATTTGTTTATTAATTTCTTAATATTTAATTGTATCTTTGTTTTTATGTATTCTTCTATTTAATCTATACATATTAACAGTTGTGGATTTGAGTAGATAAAAGTGAGCATTGTATACAGACGGCCATAGCGGATAGAGGGTTTACACAATGTACAACTTATCTTTGCCAATTTTAAACTAAACGATAAAATTTTAATAATAATACCTACCTTTTATTTTTTATTTTAGGACGATGAAAATATATAAAGTAATTCACGAAACTCAAGAACTTTTTAGTCCTTATTTACATAAAGAATGGTATTTATCGAACGAAAATACTCAAAGACTTTTGAAAAGGTTATCATTTAAGGATAGAACTTTATTCAACTTCGATATTGCGATATTAAACTGGCAATCGTACATTGTCAATTATGTCAAAGGAGTAAGAGTTTATCTGATCAAGGATCCTATGTCAACAATAACCGAAGGAAAGAAGATACAACAGCAGAAGTTGATTAATCAGATAGTATTTGCTTTTATATTGACAATTATTTTGTATGTTGTAGGAAAATTTGTACTATTTAGAATATTTTTTACATAATGTAAGAGGTTAAAAAAACAAATAAAGGTATTCTAGATACATAATATTAGTGAGTTACTTAAAAATCTTTATTTAACCCTTACTTGTTAAAAAGGGGCCAATAGGCCCCAGATAACACTTCACAAACTTAACAATCAAAATATGTTTAAATATTCTGCAGTCTAAAAACTCCGAAGGGAAAGTTAATTTACCTGCGATTTAGAGCATTTTTTACTTTTATATGGCGATGTCTACTAAGCCTAGATGACAACTCAACATTAATTCTCAATGTTTCGGCTCTATAGTCAGGATAGTTTAATAAACCAGTAACGACAAAGGCATTTAAGCCAAAGGCAGACAATGTGCTAGTGGATAAGTCTTTAACCATGGGGTAAAGTAATTGAAATTCAAAGACAAACAACTTAAAAAGGGACAGAGAATTTGAACGAAGTTGAGGGGCTCGATTCCAAAACTATTCTTATCCCATTAAAAAAAAAACATAAAATACGGGTAATTATGACATCTATTAATAATCACCTATACGGTAACTCACTTACTTACTGACCAAACCTCCCTTTATCCAGCTTAAAAGCTAAGAAAATCCATGCATATTCGACGTACACCTCACTGAAAAATTATTATAATATTTTTCTACTATTATATTATTTATCTATGATAATATCCATGACACGAATTACTTGAAAACACGTTTGTTGTCATTTAAATTCTTCTTTGACAAAAACTATTAAATATTTAATAACAGTATGGTTAATAATGAATCATTTTGTTTTCCCTGGAACAAGGAAAAGGGAGATGCAGTCTCAGTGATCCTACAAAACGGGAAAAAAACATATCAAAATTGAAAAGGTAATCTATACACGTTTCTAATTTGTTCTAACATTTTAGGTCACGTAGTTGTTCCTCTTTTATAAACACTCGTATTTGCAACGACCTGTTTCCCAAAATGTAAGCATTCAACGGGAAAAACATGCCGCGGTTTAATGCTCACAATGCAAGATATTAAAAATTTCCATGCCCAATTTTATTCTCTGAAAACTAAGACTGAACAAGATAATTTATCTTGAAGTATAATATTCATGTGATATTAACCTCCTTGGTATTGCTTTGGCTGTAGACTTCGAATATTGTAGGCAACTTTATGATGTCAGTGTTTGCCAGAAGTCAATGTCACTGACATATTAATTTTATTGTTTTTGTTAACAATTATGTGTACAATTTATGTTGATTAAAACCTTATATCCTAGGTTTTACTTTATCATTTCAATTTAATCAACATAAATGGAGAAGTATTTAAGACCCAAGCAAGCAAGCAATTTGATTAAACCCAGCGAGAAATGTTCACCCCTAAGAATTACGATCGGGTGTAACAATTCATTGAAGCAAGGTGTGTTAACTCGAGTATAACCAGGAGTCACCCCACCATGCTCCAATGCTCTAGACCATCCTTTTCCCCCCTATAGCACTCTGATGCGCTATAGAGGCACAACAATCAGGCAAATGCTCTTCATGTGGAGGTTCTGGGTAATAGAACTCCAACATCTTTTCCTAACCGAATGCGAAAACTCAGGACAGCGCATCTCCGATATATTCCTGTTATCTTAACGTGATTTATCCGCGAACTAAAATTGCTTACTTGGGCCTTAAGTCTCCGCTCTGAGTCCCGGCTCAGTTCGGCGACTTGGTGCTCAAGAGGTTGGGCCCTACGTGCCTGGGTTTTGTATAGTCGCGCAGGTATAGTACTGAAGATCAGATTTTTATTAAAAATGAGATAAAGAAGCTTTTAAATGAAGGCATTATTGAAAGAAAGTCAGTCCCCTTGGAGAGCTTATCACCAAAAACGAAACTCACAAGAAGCGGCTTGTCATTGATTATTCTCAAACAATTAATCGATTCACTAAATCTGATGCCTATCCACTGCCAAATATCGAGGAAATGGTGTCCAATGTATCATAATTCACTGTCTTTAGTGCAATAGATTTCCAAAGTGCATACCATCAGGTTCCAATACTTTCACATGAAAAGATGTATACAGCTTATAAAGCCGCTGGGAAACTTTATAAATTATGTCGCATTCCGTTTGGTATTACCAATGGTGTAGCCAGTTTCCAAAAAATAATCGACTGGCTCATACGCACAGAAAACCTTGAAGGGATATATGCCTACCTTGATTACATAACTGTTTGTGGTAAGACGAAGGCAGAACATGACAAAAATCTTGAGAACTTTCTGAAGGCCACAGACAAATATGGCTTGACACTAAACCAAGAACAAATTCATATTACATAAACTTACTTGGTTATACTATAGGACCATGTCATAAAACCCGATGCTAGTAGACTACAACCCTTATTAAAAATGCCACCACCGAATGACACTGCATCTCTCAGAAGGGTATTAGGAATGTTTGCCCATTATTCAAAATAGATTCCCAAATTTTCCAAAAGGGTTCACAGATTAGCTCATGTTAACAATTTTCCATTGAACGAAAATGCTTTATCTTGTTTTAAAAATATGAAACCTATAGTTCATCTATATCTATATAGAAAAGTCATATGTTCACGCTATCGACGAAAATATGCCATTTGTTGTTTAAACTGATGCTTTGAATACTCAATTGCTGCTACCTTTAGTCAGGATTCCACACCCGTTGCTTTCTTTTCAAGATCACTTAACTCTAGTAAGCTGAACCATTCTGCTGTGGAGAAAGAAGCATACGCTATTGTTGAATCTCTAAAAAAGTGGCACCATTTTCTTATAGGAAAGCCTTTCACAATCATTACTGATCAAAAGTCTGTAACATTTATATTCAACACGAAGCATTCCAGCAAGATTAAAAATGAGATAATACAAAGATGGCGGCTTGAATGGGCACCTTATAAATATGACATTATGTCTCGACCAGGAAAAGATAACCAAGCAGCGGATGCTTTATCGCGCATCTGCTCTTGTGCTACTACCACGACAGAAGGTGTATCACAACTCAAGTCACTTAACACTGCACTTTGTCATCCAGAGGTAACACGTATGTTTTATTGGATAAAATCGAAGAATTTGCCTTTCTCTCTCAATGAAGTCAAGACTATGACTCGCGACTGTGGGGTATGTGCTAAAATCAAGCCAAGGTACTTTAAGAATGTGGAGCTTTTTCCAAAGCTTATAAAAGCCACATTTCCCTTCGAACGCCTTAGTATTGACTTTAAAGGACCAGTGCCTTCAAATACCAATGATCTTTATATTCTTACGGTAATAGATGAGTATTCTAGATTCCCATTTGCTTTCCCATGCAATGAAATTAGTGCCAAAACAGTAATCAAGAATTTAAATAACTTATTCATGATGTTTGGAATGCCTGCATACATTCATTCGGATAGAGGGACTCAATTTCTATCAGCTGAAGTCAAAGAGTTTCTCAACTCCAGAGAAATCGCAACAAGTAGAACTACTGCTTATAATCCTTAAGAAAATGGTCAAGTGGAGAAGTTGAATTCTACTGTCTGGAAAGCTATTCAACTGGCCTGTGAATCACATGAAGCACCTATTGAGACTTAGGAACAATACTTACTTGTCGTGCTGCATTCCATTCGTTCACTGTTGTGTACCGCAACTAACTGTACGCCGCTTGAAAGAATGTTCGTGCACACACGTCGATCTCCAAATGGGAATACAATACCGTCATGGCTAGCAAAATCTGGGCATGTCGTGATGAGAAGATTCGATCGGAAAAACAAGTACCAGCCTATCGTAGAGGAAGTGAAGGTAATAGAGGCAAATCCTGAATACTCTTTTGTTTAACTGAAAGACGGACGGGAAACCAGTGTCTAATCGTCATCTGTCTCCGAGTGGACGAGGTGAAGGGGAAATACTAGATTTAACAGGTCAAGAATCAGTGTTTGTAGAAGACCCACATAAGTTACATTCGAATCTTAATGATTCCTCATCCAATACAACCACGCAAAACATGCAGTTCCTGGCAGATACATCTACATCTCCCCCTCCAGTGGATTCATTACTTCTTGAAGAACCCCCAATGAGTTCTGAACAGAGCTTATCGCCTTCTTCAGCACTACCTAGAAGATTTGGAAGAATTTGTTATTTACCACGGTATTTGGAAGATTATAGTGTGGGAGAATGAAGACTTCGAATATTGTAGGTAACTTTATGATGTCAGTGTTTGACAGAAGTCACTGTCACTGCCATGTTAATTTTATTGTTTTTGTTAACATTATGTGTACAATTTATGTTGATTAATTATGTTGATTGAGACTGGCTGGATGACATTTGTCCAAGCCAATAAAAAAAATATATATGTTGATTAAAACCTTATATCCTAGGTTCCACTAGAAAGTAAGTACTTTGTAAAAATAGGGGAAACGCAGGACTTTAAAGTTCAGGTATGTCAAAATGCATTTAAGTTTCCAAGGATTGCATTTACAGAATTGGTCGCATTTTTTACAAAACAAATTACCCCGAAAGAGAATCATTAAAACTTTTTTTAGAGATATCTTTTGCCAAGAATATAACATCACCTTTGGTTCGCCAGAAAATAAAACAAGAAAAGGATGTTAAAGCACGTAATCAGCTTCAAAATGAAAAAAAATCATGTACTTAAAGGCAAAGCATGTTTTTCTAAGTTGAGAGAAACAAAGCCAGATATCCTCGTTTTATCTTTTGACTGTCAAAAGAACTTGATCAAACCAAAAGTACAAGATAAAATCGCGTATTACAGTCGCTAACTGTAAAAATATAACTTTCCGGTCGTAAAAGCCAAACTTCACAACAACAATATGTTCATATTCTCCTGGATGGAGCAAGAATTTCGCAAAGGATCAAATGCCATTGCTTCAGCAGTTTCTCATTGCTTATCAAGTCTTTTATATATTGCTTATCATTGCTCTCATCTATTGCTCTCATTGCTTATCAAGTCTTTTATATATTGATTGGGGTGTAGAGCTAGTTCGCGTCCGTAGTAGAATACTACACGTGCACCCTGGGTAATGCTAAATGAACTAGCACATACTGGCAGTCAGACAATCCTTAGGATC